AACAACAACAACAACAACAACAGTTTCTTTTTGAGGTAACTGAGGCTCAAGTTAGTGAAAGTCCCTGCCCAAGATCACACATACAGGAAATGGCATAGCCTGGATTTGAACCTAGATCTATATGTCTGAACCTTGCCAATAGATCCCAAGATTCACGGTGAGAGAACATAGCCTGGCACGGTGGCGTATATGTTCTCAATGAACAAGTGTGGGTGCCAGTCCTCCACAGCATATTCCAACCTGCAGGGCTGACAGAGGTCAGAGAAGTGGGTGTTCTATATGTCTCGGGGGTTAAGAAGATGAGGCTCTCAGATGCAATTCATTCCTTAATGACTGAGTGTGGACTGTGTGTATCAGTTGCTGGGTGGTGAAAATGGTTAACGCACTCAGCCGTGAGTTTATAACACCACCTGATGGCGAATGAGCTGTCTTGGGTCCTAGACATGAAGGTAACTACTTCATGGAGTTGACAGTTTAAAGGAAGAACTACACTTTATTAAATAAGAACTGAAATGAAATGTCATTCCATACAGGACAGGGATTGAAGGTGGGTATTGGCTGATCTATTCCTGTCGGGGGAGCAGATTCTGAGAAGATGATGTCTGAATGGAAGTCTGGAGGCTGAGATGCATATAGTAATAGCTGTTGTTGGGAGGAACAGCATTCTGGGCAGAGGGACTATGACATGTGAAGACACTGAGGTAAGAAGGAAAGAACAATTGTCTTAGGTCTTAGAAGACCTTTGAAATTTAGTGCAGAAGGATTTGTGAGAGAGAAATAGCAGAGGACTAGTCTACAAAGAACTCCTTAAGAGACTGGAACAGCTGTACAAGCACCCACGGGAAGAACATCTCAAGGGAAGTAAATGACACGTGAAAAGGTCCGGAGGCAGGATAACCACGTGGGTGGAACCCTGTGGAACAGGAATCAGAGAGGTGAATGGAGAACTTGGGGACCCTTTATTTTGTTTCCTCTTTATTAGGGAACTAGTGAGGACTCAGTGTGTAATATGAATAGATTTGCCTTTCATACAACAATTTTCTTTTTGGTAAGAATATATGTTGTTGTTGTTGTTAATTGCCTTTGAGTCAAGCACGACTCATAGTGACCCTGCGAACAAAAGGCCTGAAGCCCGTCTACAACTATTGACATTTATAAAAGTTTATAGAGTTTCCAGAGGCATGTTCTTTAGGAAGGGGATGCCACTCCTGCTTCCAAATCTGTCCTAGAATGTTATTGGCCGAGTCACCTGCGATGCCTAGCGACCCCCGTGTACAGTAGCTCTGAACCCTCCCCCTGCCCCGAGGATCCTCGTACTCACCCCTCAATAATGGTTTATACACCATGTTACCTTTTGAGTTTCCTTCCTAGTGTGATTCCCTATTGTTGTTGTTGGGTGCTGTCGAGTCACCTGCGACTCATAGCAACCTTATATACAGCAGCTCTGAAGCCTGACCTTTCCTGGGCCAGTCTCACGGACTCAGACAAACCTACCCCCATTACCCCAGTTACTGTATTAATCCATCTTATCTGTGTCCTCCAAGGACTGGTTCCTTCTGGCAATATGGCAAGAGTATGTGAGATGGAGCTGCAAATTCCTAGTCTCCAAGGAGAAGCTTGGTTTCACCCTTTCCAAGACAGATCTCTTTGTTTCCTTGGTGGTCCGTGGTTCAAGGCTCTTCTCCAGCACCACAACTCTAAGATGTCAGTAATTCTTCTGTCATCCTTAGTCATTTCCAGCTTTCTGATGCATAACAAGTAATTACAAAGACCATGGCCTGGATCAGGCACAACTCACAGATGTATAAAATGGGTTGGTTGAAACCATTGCATGGCTCAAAGAAAACGTCAGGGGATACTTTCAGTTTAATGTTTTAAGATACTGGCAGGGCAGTAGTTTCAGGACTTCATCGAACCTTGATGGCTCCATAGACGAAGGTATTCTATTGAGAATTTGAAATTCTGTTCTACTCCTGCCACATTTTGACATTTTCTGTCTTTTAATAAGAGCTCTTGGATTTTTTTCCTAGGTAGCAAATACAGTGGGGGACAGACTGTGGCAAGTGCCGTTTGCTGTTCCTTTGACTTGGCCTCTTCCACCTTTCTGTGCTCCACTGACTGTGACAGGCTCAGCTCCCATGGGCACTAACCAGAGCTGGACTCCCGAATTCCTCCTGCTGGCCTTTGCTCACGTGCCCACGCTGCGGCCAGCGCTTGCTGTGCTCTTCCTGCTCATGTTTCTGCTCACACTGATGGGCAATGGCGTCATCGTGCTGCTGACCACGTGGGACCCTGTCCTGCACACGCCCATGTACTTCTTCTTACGCCAGCTGGCCCTTGTAGAGATTTGCTTCTCCCTGGACGTTGTGCCCCAGCTGCTGGTCAATCTGCTGTGGCCTGGGCATGGCATGTCCCCTGTAGGCTGTGCCCTGCAGATGCTGGTGGTCCTGGCCTCCCTCACGTCCGAGTGCTTCCTCCTGGCCGTCATGGCCTGGGACCGCTACGTGGCCATCTGCAGGCCGCTGCACTATGGTGCCATCATGAGTCCACTGCTCTGCCACCTGCTGGCTGTCACCTGCTGGCTGGCTGGAGTCCCTGTGTCACTGGTCTTCACCATCTGGCTCTTCAACTTCCCCTTCTGTGGGCCCCATGGCATTCGTCACTTCTTCTGTGACATCGCCCCCCTGCTGAGCCTGGTGTGTGCGGACACAGGCGTCTTTGAGGACATTGTGTTAGTGGCCACAGTGCTGGTCATCATGGTTCCATTTTGTCTCATTGCCGTATCGTACGTGGGAGTGTTGGTCACGGTCCTAAAGATGACGTCGGCCACGGGACGTCGCAAAGCCTTGTCCACCTGCGCCTCTCACCTCATGGTGGTCATTCTATATTACGGCACGATGGGGGTCATCCACTTGCGACCCAAGGCGAGCTACTCCCCGGAGAGTAAGCAGGGAGTATCCCTCTCTTACACCATGGTCACCCCTATGCTCAACCCCCTCATCTACAGCCTGCGGAACAAGGAGGTCAAGTCTGCCCTGGGCCGCATGTGCTGCAGATGACAATGACCTCATCAACGGCCTCTTCATGATTGTTCTGGGAGTTAATTATAGATACCTGAGTTGTGGGGTTTTTTTTCTGCCCAGAATTCATGTACCATGATTCTAGGTTAGTGCTCTGGTTTCTTCTGGAGAACCATAACCCTCCCTTCTTTAATCTGTGTGGTCAGTGTGGTACCGACTCCACCTTTCCAACCCAAAGGCTGTGTCCACTTAGTGGTTCTACTCCACCACAGCTCCCCTTGAGAATGGTGGGCACTCTCCTGTACCATTCCCAGCTTTGCAAACCCAGTGAAGGCGCGACCGTGAGCTGTTTCTGACTTGACAGCGATGAATGGGTGAGTGAGTATCTGAGACAGCGGTCATGGGCAAGCCTGTGCTCCGTGATCACAATCATTAATATAATAGATGAGGAAACACACCTACATGGGATCAACTAGGGTGTGTCACATAACTATGTCCACAAGATTCTGGGGTCATAAACAACCTTACATTTAGTCTCAAAACACTTATTCCTCAGAACACCTACAAGATCTCATCTCACCCCAGTCAGAATAGCAGAATTCCACAGAGCAGCAAACAGCAAATGCTGGCGAGGTTGTGGAGAAACTGGAACCCTTATTCACTGTTGGTGGGAGTGAAAAGGGTGCAACCACTGTGGAAGGCTGTATGGAGGTTTCTCAAAAAGTTGGAAATAGAGATACCATTTGACCCAGCAATTCCACTACTGGGAATATACCCCAAAGAGACCATAACTAACATCCAAGCAGATATATGCACACCGTATTCATTGCTGCTTTGTTCACAATAGCAAAGAGCTGGAAACAACCCAAGTGCCCATCAACAAACAAATTGATAGAGAAGCTCAATGAATACTATGCTGCATTGAAAAACAAGGAACTCATGCAATATTATGCAAAATGGGTGACAGTGGAGGACATTATGCTGAGGGAAATATTTCAGTCACAAAAGGACAAATACAGCATAATGCCAATGTTATAAAACAGGACTGACATCGGAGTTGGGGGGGAACCTAAGAAAAGAGGGGACAAATAATGTATACTGCATTGAAACAGATGAGGGGGAGAACTGTTTAAAATTAATAGGATTAGGCATTATTTTCATGAAAAGATTACAGAAAAAGAAATGCATAGTAAAGTGGACTGTGGACTTGAGGGGATTGTATAACAATGAAATAATTTTTTTTCCTCTTCAAGGAGAAAATCTAACTGGGAGGGAGGAGTGGACAGGGAGGGAAATGTGCAATAATGAATGAATGGGGGGAAATTAAATGGAAAGAAGATACTGTAAAAATATATATGTTGTATTAAAAATCATTAATAAAAAAGGGGCAAACAAACCCACGTATTCCTGTTAGCATGAAGACAGTAGAGCTATTCTAGAATGGCCTCTGTGGGCTTTTGTCTTGTGAGGACTTTTTTTATGAAAATGGGTGTTTTTATGTTGTTTGTGTTTCCCCCAAAGATGTGTTAAATAAATTTATTCATAAATTCAATATTTTTAGGAACATTTTTCTTTGGAAGTTTTACAGGTTACTTCACGCAGGAACACTCTGGATCTCAGCCTTCGTCTCTTTGCAGTGGTGGCTTATGAAAGGGAGGAACAGGCACTGAGATAGAGTTGCTCACAGGGCAAAGAGACATCAAGCGAAGACGCACCTTCAAGCCAGAAAGTTCCCAATATTGTCAGTAGCCAGCAGCAGCCAGGAGGGAGGTAATGACCTGGTGTCCAGATCTGCATCCACAGCCCTACTTGTTGAATGCTGGGGGGGGAGGGAATGTCTCTAAGGCTCAGTGTCTCGTACTACAAACGGGAAAGCATACTTTACTCCTCCTGACACCCCAGATTTTTTTGGGAGCTCCAGTGAAAGAAAGCAAACTTTGCGCAAGTCTAAGGCACAAAGATGTGGATAGTTACGATGCGCATGGTGACCAGGGACTGAAGGAATTGTGTGACTACAATAGTGTTTTAATAGTAATAGTATTTCCGCTAAGGTGATCTTTTAAAATGGACATATTAAAAAGATGAATTAAAATTTTAAAAGATAGATTTGAATGGTGCAACCATTCTGGAAGGCAGTTTGGCGCTTCCTCAAAAAGCCAAACATAGAAATCTCATATGACCCAGCGATTCCACTGCTTAGAATATACCCTGAAAAAACAAGAACTGAGGCACAAACTGAGATTTGTACACAATTGTTCATAGCAGCATTATTCACCATTACAAGAACATGGTAACAGTCCAGATGTCCAACCGCAAATGAATGGATTGAGACATTATGGTACATTCACACAGGGGAATACTATGCAGCACACAGGAGCAGTAACTTCACAAATTATGACCTAACTTGGGAGGGACTGGAGAGCATTATGCTGAGTGAACTAACTCAGTCCCACAAGGATAAATATTGTATAAAGTCATTATTGTTGAAAGAGTAGAAGGATCCAGGAGGGGTGGGAGGGGCTGGAAGCAGAGGGATGTGGATGTACAGGGGGTGGAGGGATTAATCATGAGATTGTATAATTTGATGGATGGGAGGTTGAGGGAAATTGAAAGAATTTGTTTGAATTTGTATTATAATTTTATAAATAAACTAATGGGAGGAGGAAACCCAACTGCTGGCAGTTCTCTGTTTAAAAAAAAGAAGAAGAAGATGGGTTTGAATTCACCACAAGTAGCAGTACTCACCCTAAGTGTAGGATCTATCATGAAATGAAGTTCTTAGGAGCACCTGGCTGTGCATCTGATCATAGAAATAGGTTCAGAAGAGTTCATACACATATTTCCACACCAGCTACAAGGTAAAGGGCCAGGGAAGAGAGTGGGTAAAGTGTGTGTGAGGGGAAAAAAGTGCAATTGTTTTCTACAAACATGATTTTCTGCTTTTCACTGACTGTAGTGTGTATATGTCGTTTCGTAACTTTTGAAGAATTTCATAAACTAATAGTTAAAGACTCAAAGTGTGAAAATGTATTTAGGACTGGTTATCTTACGGGGACTCTAGTGACAGAGAGAGTTTGGCTGCTAACCCGAACGCCATGTCCTCTGGCAGTTCAAACTCACCAGCAGCTCCAAGGATGAAAGAGAAATCTCCTTCCATGTGATTTAGTCTCACTGAGCTGCTGGAAGGCCAGCGACCAGCTGGTGCCCCGACGGTCGTGAGGCAGAGGATTCTTTTGCTTAGTGTTTGGTGATATTTGTAGAGTGTTACATATTTTCTTCCATTTTTATAAAATTTTTAAAGCAGGAAAATGTGAAAATATCAATAAAATGATGTCCAAATTCTACCTGCGAAAAGATTATCTTTTATTTAAGGTAATAAGGCATTTCTGGAACACTATTAGTCATTTAAATCCCAACATAAAGGGAGGAAGCCTACAATTTGATTGCGTATTTCTTTAAAAAAAATTTTTAATGAATCCCAGAAGTGCAGGGTTCGAATCCATCAGATGCTTTCCTGGAGAAGGAAGCACAATCTCCTCCTGTACCAATCAGATCTGATTCTATGGTACACACACACAAAAATAATGAAAATTTTTAATGACAGTTTATAGAGACGTTGGATGTCCCTTCATTCATTGTTGCACATTTTCCTCCCTGCCCACCCCTCTCCCTAGTTGGTTTTTCTCTTTGAAAAGTAAAAAAATAAATAAATCAAACTTTTATTATTATACAATCCCCCTCCCAGGTCCACTCCCCCATGCAGCTCTCATTCTAGACTCTTGTCTTGAAAATGATACCAAATCATATATTCCTTTCAAACAGTTCCCTCCCACGTCTGTTTCAATGCAGTGTACATTGTTTATTCCCTCTTTTCTTAGAGTCCCTCTAACGCTGATGTTAGTCCTGTTTTACAACAATGGCACTATGCAATATTTGTCCTTTTGTGACTGAGATACTTCACTCAGCATAATGTCCTCCAGGGTGACTCATTTTGTATAATATTTCATGAGTTCCTTGTTTTTCAATGAGGCATAGTATTCCATTGTGTGAATATACCACAGCTTCTCTATCCATTCGTTTTTTGATGGGCACTTGGGTTGTTTCCAACTCTTTGCTATTGTGATCAAAATGGCAATAAGCAAGGGTGTGCATATTGATTGTATATTTCATGCCAAAATACTAAATCATTTAGGAAAATGAAGTGATCCTCTGTTGAGAAGGAATTCTGAATACTAGAAGAATGGGCTTTGGATATCATGTTTACAAGCTTAGGTTTTAGCTGCAAGGCTGTGGGGAGTGTTTTAAGATAGACTTCTTAGACCTGAAGTGATCAAGACTGCTGCTTGACTGGTGTGTTGTGCGGGGGGAAACTCTGAAGTAACTTTCTGGGCATTCAGCTCTCAAGTTCTCTCTCCCTTGGGACATGTTTTCAGAGTCTTTGGCTGGTAGTTGGCTTCCTTCTTGGTTCTCAGTAGCCTTTGTGTTTCTCACAATGAGTTATGAATGGGTGTTTCTCTGCTGGCTTGGACTACGCCAACATCAGTTACAGAAAATGGACAATCTTTCTCACTCATCTCTGTGCCTCTGATTCTAAGCACAGGTCTTAGCATTTCAAAGAGTGTTTATTAAGAGTAGCAAGGAGGTCAACTTTTCTGTGCTCCTCCCTTTAAGCCTCTCTACAACATCAGTAAAAAGGAAAAAAAAAGTTTCCATTGCAGCTCCTTTCCAAGTCCACAGAGACCAGAGGGCGTCTCTGAGGTCCAGCAGTCTTGTTTAAGCTTGCCCTTTCTCCTTGTCACTGCAAGGACAATCAGCTCAACGTCTGTGGGGAACAGTGAGAAGCGAGAGCGTGGGGCGGTCCTGGTTCTGAACCACGGACAGTTCTCTGCCAAATGCACTGAGCATCAATTCTCTCCTTCCCTGGCATCTCCATTCACCTGCGCAGAAGCCGGAAGACACCTGGACAAACAGATTGCCTCCAGGTGCAGCGCCAGCGAAGAGTAGCTTGTATCTGGAATCCTCAGACCACCAGGTAAGGA